CAGGCCCCAGCCCGGCTCTGAGCTGACACGAGAATCTGAAAAGTGCAGAGCCACACGAAAATGAAGCTGCACAGACTGCAGCTTTTCAACTTAACCAACTTAAATGAGACTCGAAAACACGCTCACTCAGTTCAACCTCGGTTAAAGGCTTGGCGTCGTCAGTACCAACGCACACGCAAGTCTGTAACAAACACAGGTTCTTAGACTGAAAACCAAGGAAAGTAAATTTGCTGATTCTGAACTTTAAGTGGTGACTTGCTCCAAACACCTCCAACAGTTCCAAATGTTCCATAAATACAGAAACCCTGATTAACTCTACAATGCGTGTTAGAGGCATAACGATTCCACGTACAAAATACACGGGAAGAAAAAAATCGGAGAAGCATGCAAATATTTAAGCAAAGTGTTGCTCGCTGCAAAGTTATTTTAACAGTAAAATAAATCCACAAGTCATTAAATAGCCAACGATAGAGGTATGGTTAAATTAATTGCTGAAAATCCATATATTGGAAAGGTATTAATCCATTAACATCATGTGAAAGAAGCAGAAGATATTTTCAAATGAAAAAATTTAACATGTAAACATAGAATATGATCCCAATTTTGCATACACAGAGATGCTTACATAGATATACACATATCCAGCACACGCACGCACACACACACACGCACGCACGCACACAGACACACACACCCTTGTGCTGCAAAGCTCCATGGGTGTTTAACCTCTGGGCAAAGACATTACAGATTTCTGCTTTCCTCACAGGTTCTTCTATGTCCAAATTTCTACGCTGGGCCTGAGCTAATCTAACTACATGTCCGTCACGCACATGGACACATATCAACAGCAAAGTAAGGGGAAAGCATCAGTTATTAAGAAGAGCAAAGAGCAGGCCCCGAACCCTGGACCACGCACGTTCCGGGCCCCTCAAACAAAGTCGGATGTCACCTCTCACCTAACGAGGGACTCATCACATGTCAGGGGAGACTGTAGGCCAGAAACGAGCACATCCCAAGACACCTCGAAGTCACCTTTCCCCAAACCTGCTCCTCCCCTTGTCTGTCCCGCCTGGTCAAGGGCACCAGGGCCACCACCGATGGCATCTAAACTGGGCCACCGCCGGAGAAAGCCAACAACATCACGTTGGCTTCCTGCCACGTCACCCTCCCTCCTGCAAGCTCTCCCTCCTGCCCGCAGGTCGTGCCTCTGGAGGGCGGTTCATCTCTACCTCCCAGGGGAACAAGCGCTCTTCCCTCCCGGGGACCCTAGCCAGGGCTGTGGGGATGCGGGCCCCACGTGTCCTCCCCTCCACCGACCTAGTCTTCTGTCGCTCACCCTCAGGCCCATGAGCCCACCAGCCGCGGGGTGAGGGGGGATGGTGGTCCGCTCCTCTCCCAGCAGCTCCCACAGACTTTCCCCCGGAACTGGGCTCGGAGCCGACCCCGGCTGGCACATCGCAGTCCCCCCGAGACTGAGCGGAGGGGCAGGGGCCAGTGGTGTTTATTTCACGCAGCACTTGCGTACGTGCCAGGCTCACGGGCCACTTCGCGCGTGTCCCCGGAGTCCGTACCCGGTGGCTCCTCCCACCTCCGCTGGGAAGAGAACGGCGGGCGCTGAACGGTGAGACGGTGCGGGCAGGGCGGCTCGCTGCCTGTCGCCCCCGGTCCCACTGTCCGCAAGCTTCTGCTGACCTGGGGGGCGGGGGTCCTCTGTCCACACCCGAGGACACCAAGAGGTTAAGGAAGTCAGCAGCACAGAGTCGCCAGTGACAGAGCTTCAGACCCCCTGATGCCTCCAGCCTCCCTGTGCCCCCCAAAGTGCCAGCCGACCCGACGTGGGTCCGCACCCTGAGTGTCAGCTCGAGACCCCCAACCGGAGTTTCGCTCAGCCACTTCCGCTCGCTTAGGGTTTTTGCCGCTAGCCGCAAGTTAGCCGCATCCTGCCGCCCAAATAAAATGAACCGTCACCGCGAAGCCACAGCCTGAGCCGGACCTGGTCTCGCGCTTCGGTCCGCGCCGGGGTGGGGGCTGCACGCGCCCTGCGGACTCAGGCGACGCATCCAGGTCAGGGCTTCGCG